AGTCACCCAGCCAGCTTTCATGCCAAAGGCCGGATTAAAACTCACAGTCTCCTGGTGATTGGCTCAAAGTCATGCATTTTACCTTCACTTCTAAGGCCAGACTAGAACTCTCCATCTCCTGGCTTTTAGCATGTGCACGGAGGAGTAGTTTTTGGAATCGGATACAGTATTTGAGAAGCTATTAAGACAGTTTGGGGCCAGGTTGCCCATCCCTGATGTCTGCCTTGGCCAGGCGCAGATGAGTGTTTGATCCTCAAATTTTAGGCAATTGGCTAGAAATCATCAGCTTTAGGTTTGTTCTCACCATCTGCCTCCTGCCTTTCATGCCTTGTTTTGTTCTCTTTTAGCATAGCCTCCGTTATCCAGAGAGCTGGTTGTCCTGTCCCGGATTACATAAAACACTTTCGCAAGCTGCAAAGGTATGGTCCCTGGGGTCAGGGTGAATGAAGAAGCTAAGGTGGGAAGGACACTGTGTTCTGGGTGTTTCCAATTGCCTGAAATCACATTAGCGGTCTCTCACTGCTGAAGTTAAGATCAAGCAGGGAACCCCAGGGATGACACTTTTGGCTCTTGAGAGCCAGCAGAGAGAGAAAGATCTGCCAGTGTTAAGAAAAAACATGTCATGGCAGCCTGATTGCTGCTTTACATACTCATTTCAGTGATAATTCTTTGCTATGTTAACTCCCCCTCCAGTGGGGGATTCCCAGGAGTATAGTCTGAAAGAATGATGGGGATAAAAGCTTATAGTGCATCCTAAGCGCATAATAGAATCACATCTAAAGCAGTGGTCAGAGTCCTTAGAAACTTTGCTTAATATCTCCCAGGTTCCCCATTCCTTATGATCCTTTTAATGATCCTTTTAATAAAACAAACTAAATAGGAAGCAATTCTTTAATAAAACAAACTAAATAGGAAGCAGTGCTACAAAACCAAGCTCCAGAAGCATTGTCATTTACAGGTAGTCCTCAACTTACAGCCACAATTGAGCCTAACATTTATGCTGCTAAGCGAGACATTTGTTACGTGCGTTTTGCTGCATTTTACAACCTTTGTTGCCATGGTTGTTAAGTCAATAACTGCAGTTGCTAAGTGAATCACATGGTCGTTCATTGAATCTGGCTTCCCCATTGACTTCGCTTGTCAGAAGGTCGCAAAAGGGGATTACATGACCTCAGGACACTGCAACCTGTCAAGGTTCTGACAATTGCCCTAATTAAATCATGAGCCTTGAGCCAAGCTTCAAAAGAATCCAAAAGATTTATTAGGAGCAATATGCCGGCATTGATCCATATGAAGCCAACTCTGCCACATGTAATTTACGGTCACCTGTGATCCTGTGTCCCCTCTGGGTGTGTCATAAATCAGGTTCACAGTCTCCAATGAAGGATTTTCACGGGCAGAAGATCCGGTAGCCTAGGCTACAATCTTTGTAAAATAAGCATGGAATGTACTTCTGGTTTTAATTGCCCTACTGCTCCTTCAGGTTTTTTCCCCCTCCTGCTTATGGCAACTCGAAAACAGGCATAGGAGTGCTTTACGAGTTGACACAACCGTCATAAATATGAACCAGTTCCCAAACATCCAAATTTTGATCATGCAACCATGAGGATGCTGCAACAATCATAAGTGTTAAAAACAGCCATAAGTCATTTTTTTTCAGTGCCATTGTAATTTAGAATGGTCACTATATGAGTGGTTGTAAGTGAAGGACTACCTATAGTTGTCACGAATGAATCCTACACTAGTTCTTTGGGGATGGTAGAGACATGCTGGGCATGATGGAGGCTAATTCTGGTAAATGGGCTCTTTGTGACTAACCAGTGAGATATTTAGATTACTTTCTTGCTAATTCCCTTATGTGCCATATGCCTTTTAAACTTTTTAATAATGATTGTTTTTCATATGTTATTATTTTGTATCTTTATTGCCCGGAATAACTTCTTGTGAGATGGGCAGCTATATAAATCAATCAATCTTTCCTTCTCTCCATCCATCCATCCATCCATCACATCATATTAAGCAAGTCTTCTAAGGCAGCCATTTTTTTGAGTGTGCCTACTACATGTTTTCAAAATTACAAATATGGTCCCAGCTCAAGGTGCCTTTTATTTAGTTGTTTGTTTTGAGTTCTCCCCAATTTCCTTTCCTTATTAAATAAATATTATTTTTCTCTTTTTTAGTTTCCAGGGTTCTGGAAACTGCCTCCTTTTAGAAATTGAATGAGGGCTGCTGACAGGTTATACAGTATGTGTTGAATGTAATGTAGCTTCTTTAGGAAGTTTATTCTGTGCGCTCGTTATAAACATTTTCTGTTCACAACAAGGAACAGGTTCACAACAAGGAACAGGAAAAAGAAAGGGAGCAAGGAAGGAAACTGGATTGTAAACTTTGCTAATGACCTGTTTCTATTTTATTTTCCTTTCTCCCACCTCTGCCCTGAATGTCACATTCAGCAAGCAAAAGAAGAAATTTACAAAGAAGCCCTTGGAAAGGGCGCACATCCTTACTTCTCTTAAGTTCTTACAGAAAAAAGCCAAGAAAAACAAGTAAGTAGATGCTTCTGTGTCCAAATGCTTTTTTGAAAAGTGTTGCATATAGGTGGAAATATAAGTGAATACAGGAGCTAATGAAATAACATCATGCACATTTAAGAACATTTCCAGAAAAACCTAAGAGTATGATGCTTTCAATTTGCCATTTTGCAAATTTCCTATTAAGGAATATAATATTTCCTAATGGATTCTTAACAGAATAACAGAGTTGGAAGGAACCTTGGAGGTCTTCTAGTCCAACCCCCTGTTTAAGCAGGACTGTGGATCTTCAGTCCTTCTCAAAGAGCTTTGGACAATATCAGTGTCAAAAACATTAACATAGCAATAAATGCAACTTTTTGATATAAATCTGTCACTGACTTTTTAAAAAGTAGCTCTTAATAGGCTTTTCATGCCATTCCCTTCTTTATTAGCAGTTAAATTTGGTATCTCTGTTCTGTTTGTTCTACTTTGTATTAATATTTCTCTGGCAAGTTGCTGTGTGCTATCAGCGTTAAAAACAATAGAATTAAATTGTGCTATATTAAATGTAGAAAATAGCCCTTGTTTCTAGCTGTGAATTTTCAAAGTTTTGAATCAAGGTAATCTTTATTTAGTGACTGCCTCATTTAGCGACCATTCAGTGACAAAGTTGATGAAAAAGTAGGTTGGTTTCATTTAGTAAATATTTTGCTTGACTGAATGGCTGAATTGCTTATCCCAGTTGTGGTCGCTAAACAGAATCAATTTCAAACCACCTGAATACAAAGTAGTTTGCTACCACTGATTTTGGGTTTTCAGCTATAAACACACCACCCAGAGTAGATGGAAATCGGGTGGCATACAGGTTTAATTTATTATTATTCTTATTGAAATGAGTATATATCCTACTATAAAAAGTTAAGTGGTAATTAACTTTTGGTTTGTTTTTTTAAAGTTTCAGAAAGTTGGATGTGGTTCTTATAATTTATTTGTTCCTTTTACTCTTAATAGGACACTTGTCCAGAAAATGAAAAAGAAGAACTCCAAGGAAGTCCAAAGTAATAATTCTCAGAAACGGGTGACTCCAGAAAATTAATTCAGTTGCTTTGTCAAAATAAACAAGGATTTTTTTGATCTTTGCAAGAAGAATAAACCCGAGGAGCCCTTTTTTGATGGACAAATATTTTGATTTTGCTTCTTTGATATATGTAGGTTACTGTTTTTCTACTTTACCTTTAGCTACAGGATACCTCATCCCCCAGCCCCTGATTAAGGGGGGACTTAAATCAGATCATCATCCTTGGGTAACAGTGTGATGGTGCTAATGCAAGTGTCATACCACAGAAAGATACCCAGATGCAGTCATCATGGGCACAGAAAGGATTCTGGATGCAAAGGGACTCCTCTTACGATAAATGACTCTCAGCTCATAATAAAAGGGAGAACTTCTACTACTAATCTTTGTCATTGATTATGGGAAATCAAATATTAGAATGTAGTAACTGGTTCTGTGGTGGGAATGTAAGGATAAGGCACAATTGTAGCAATCTTTTGTGCCTTTATTGCCTGAAGAGTGGATTAAAAAAATCAATGGGAAGATGGAAAAGACCTCTTCAAGAATTCAGATAGTTTGCAAAAATTAGGAATCTGGTAGCATCTTTTCAGACTAACACGTTTTATTAAAGAGTAGAAGTTTTCATCCTTTTTGAAAAATTCCTGAGCCTGAAAAAGTACTATCAAACTTGATTGTTGAATACCATTAAAGATTAACAGCTATCCCACTTTGATTTGCAAAAAAACAATCCACAATAATTCACTGACAACTGTTGAGTCTTTGAGATTATAAAACCTAAAACCATATTCTCAATAACCTGGGTCCAAGTGGTTGTGTTGTTAAAGTATTAGTTTGCATTTTGGTGTGTGTTTATGTGCAATGTTATGATTAAATGTAGTATAATGGGAGGTTTTATAATCATCAGTTCCTGCCATCCTAATTTCCAACTGGAATTGCCATACATTCTAGCTTAAGCATGAGATTTTAACTTTCATATCCCTATCTTTGGGACAGATTTCTTGTGCTTTTAAAGTTGGATGCTTAAGGAGGGAAGCAGATGGGAGATACTGTTTCAAGGTAGATGAATGTCAAAACTACAGGATCTGTGTTTATATTTTCCCACTTCGACGGAGTCTCTGAAAATGAACTTCAATTGCAGTCAATTCAACTGGATATGTAAACAGATTGACTGCAAGGGATATAAATCCTTCCATTCCCCACTGTCCTGTCAGAGCTGAAGAAGGTTCTTGGATGAGAAGCGAAATGTCTTCAAAGAAAAAACAAGAAAGTCCAAAGTTGCCTCCTGAAAAAGCCCTTTGGGACAACCATGATCTGGATGACTGAGAATCTCTACAGACGTAAACAGACTGAGTTCACTTGACATGCTGGCTGGATTTACAGATAATCACAGTTGGAAGAGACCTTGTAGGTCATCTAGTCCAACCCCACCTCCCACTACACCATTCCTGACAAATGGCAGTCCAATCTCTTCTCGAAAGTCTCAAGTGATGACGCTGTCACAACTTCCAAGGGCAATTCTGGGAGTTGAAGTCTACACATGTCGTAAAAGTTGTTTAAGTTTGAAAAAAACTCAAATGAGCTAATCTTATCCATCATTCAGAAATGCAGGTCCTATATCGATGGTACCTGTGCAACCTTTGTGGCAGTCGCTCCCTTTCTTCCAGGGCTCCGCTTGCAGCCAGGGTGCCTTCCAGAACAACTCTAGCTCCCATCATCCCCAACACAGCCCCTGTGATTATGGGGCGAGCAGACAATCACAAGGTGGCAACGACGCCCCTTCTCCCAGGTGCTTGTTGCATCCACTCTGAATGGGAGCTGCCTGGGATACTTGCATCTGAGGCCCTTTCTGTGCAGGGGACAATTGCATGTGGAATCCTTCGTATCTAGAGTCCTTTCTGTGTCGGGAATGATGGCATCTAGAATCCTTCGTATTGGAAGTTGTTTCTGTGCTGGGGATAACGGCATCTAGATTCCTTAGCATCGGGAGTCCTTTCTGTGCCAGGGATGATTGTATTGGGAGTCCTTTCT